TCATCTCTCCTGATATAACCCCTGTAGGTAATTACTGAAATTACTCTGTGCCTCCATCTCTGTAAGCTTGCTGTATATTGCTCACAATGTGGGTTTGTAGGGGCATTCTAGTGTTATGAAGGCTGGGTAAGACACCAGCTTAGGGTAGAGGATGGGGGACCAGGAAGTCAGCTTCCATGCTCCTTGGCTGCCCCATCAGTCAGAGCCTCAATCCCCTGCATTCCCAGCCACATGGAACCTAAATTATGCCTTCCTGGAGCTTGCAAGCAAGCATTTGTCCAAGCTGACACCTGTTTCCATCATCACGCCTTTCCTTTACATCCTAGAAGACCATCATTTAGACCTTCCTAAAATGCACAGGATTTAAAAGTCACTGAACATTACCTCTAAAATATACATTTGAACTTTATCTCTCTTAAAAGTTTGTAGCCTTTCCTATCAGAGGAAACAGCTGAGGACATACGGAAGCAGAAGTGCCAAGGGAAAAAAACCCCATTCAACACACAGGCCTACCAGATGATCTCACTCGTCAACCTCGTGTGCCTGTGACTCCCACTTCAGAGAGCAAACATGCGGCAGCTCCCTCCTCCTTCCATGTACACAGGATCACCGTAATTCCTAGGAGTTGACAGTCCCTCCTGCAGTCCACAGTAAACCAAATGAAAGATGTCCTTAGCCTGTCAGGTTTATTACGATTCCTTCCTTCAATTCAAATGCCTATGGATTTTATGTCAAAATGAGAATGTTTTAAATTTGAATTATTTGCTTCCAGCAACCATCCAAACCAATGTAAAATATTTAATGCTCCACTTTGTTTTGCTTAAAACTGATCTTGTACTTGGAAATTTTGGCTGCTGTATACATTCAGCCACAGAGAATGCAAAACCAAAGGCGGCTTTTATTTTTATGAGCTGCAGCCTTTAATATCCTAAGTTCATCTCCACCAGAATCATCACTTATTGGGGCCATATATATGTGCATATATAATATATGTATATATACATGTGTGTGTGTATGTGTTCATAATGCCTTACATATATTAATCCATCCATTCAATCAGCAGGCATTTATTGAGCACTAAGTGTCATGCACCTAACTAGTCATTAGAGAGAAAAAATGATGAGCAAGTCCAAGGTCACAACCCTGTGACAACCTGTGGGGAAAGAAGATAACCAAATAAGTAATGACTATGCAATGTGTTAAATGCTGGGATGGGAAAAACAGGTCATTAAAAATAATATCTTAGGTAGTAACTATGTGTCAGATGTTTACAGCCACTGTCTCTAATTATCCTACAAAGGTAGGAGACTCCCCACTTTCCAGTGAGTGTCTGGAGGCTGTCCTACCCCACACACTTCCTCTCCATCAGCCTCAGCATCCCTGTTTGCATCTGAAATCCCATTCTGGTCTCAGTGTTGCATCTGCTGGCCTGCCGTGGCTCATTCAGGCATTAATTAAACGTTTGCCTGGTATTATCCAGCATGCTGCACACCCGAGGGAAGAAAGGCCACAGAATGCACCCAGAAGGGGTGTTCTAACTGGCTACAAGGGGCAGTCCAAGAATGCTGCCACCAGGAAGCACAGAGACAGCATGGCGTGGTCAGTCTGTGGGCTCGGACCAGGAGGGCGCCACACACGCAGCATGTCTTCAGCTTCTAAAAGGCAGAAGCCATTCTGGAGGGATTTATTCTGGAGGTGGGACCCAGCTCTTCAGATCATGTGAGGTCAGAGAGCAGAATAGGAAAGAAGGCCAGGCCCTCAGGCAGGCAGTGCTCACAGTGGTGCCCAGACGGCTCACGGGTTAGTCTGAAACTCAGCTAAGGGTATAACTGGAAACTGGAGCCTGACAGTAGGACAAACCAGCTGATAGGAGATGATAAGGCAGCCTGGGCATTAAACTGACCCAAGTGTAGCAGCAGGGGGAGAAATCTGCCTTTTAAGAATGTTCCCAGAGACCAGTACATGTGATGGGAGCAGCTCTTTGTTGCACCTCCCAGGATGGAGAGGGAAACCCCACAGGGCCTCTTGGAGTCAACACAGAAGGTCACCACGCTTCTAAAGATGACAGGCCCTGTTCACTGCAGGGACTTGCTTCCACTTGGAGGGTATGCAAGGTGGAGGACAGAGTCAGAGTGGAGAGACCAAGTGCTAAAGCAACACGTCTCCCCACAACCCCTTCTCTACAGGGGACCCCCTCCCCAAACTGGTAAAGAGATTCTAAAAGAATACTGAGTTGTAGGCCAAGTTATCAACCTGCCTGGTACACCCACATGTCTCAGCCAGTACTGCAGATGATATCTATACTTGTTTAACTCTTTACTGCTGACAAAATACTTTTGTATGTGTCAGGTTACTTGATTTTCACAGCAGCTATGAAATAGGCACTAGGCCTCTCACTTACTAGAAGATCCTGAGGGTCCAAGAAAGTTAAGTGACCTGGTCAAGGTTATGAAGATCCTGAGGGTCCAAGAGAGTTAAGTGACCTGGTCAAGGTTATAAAGCTACTAAGCACAGTCGCAGAGTTGGATTTTGGATGAGAATATCTGTCCTGTAGTCTATTGGCTATATCACTACTATAATAATCAAACTTTATGAAGTTCCTTCAGGCATTAATTAAACGTTGACAGCTCTTACAGCAGTCCCAGGCAGTACACACAGACACACACTAAGACACAAAGACACATACACACTCACACCCATACGTATAGACTCTTTGTTTTCCTAAAAGAGAATAGTAATAAAAATAATAATATATAATAGTATAAATTATGCAATAATATATAAATACTTTTTATAATAGTATTACTAATAATAATACTAAATGAGTGAACCCATCGTCCCTCCTCTAGCTGTGGAGTTTGCCGCAGTGTATGTGTAAGTTAAGAGTGTAGCTATTATTTAGATGACTGCTTGAGATAGGCAGATAAAGCCTGAAATCCTAGATGTTGGGCTTCTTTTAACTCACTGTTTAGAACGATCTGTATTATCTGCCCATTTCCGTTTTCTGCCACTAACCTCCTGCTCCAGTCCCAATCCTTTCCCAGTGATACGTGAAGCAGCATCCTTCCTACATGTCTGTCTTACATCAGGACTTGACTTCAGGAAGTGGCTATCTCCGAGGCACACATAAAAATCATAAGAGTTATGAAAAAACTTCAGAAAAAAAAAAAAAACTATTTACCCCCATTTTCAGGCAAAAACAAAGCAGCTCTACCAGATACAAAATCCCCCAACTCCTGGTTTTTCAGAGCACTTCTTTCAAATTCATAGGTCACATAAATGAAATTATTCAATAAACAACTTGTCAATTAGTCTTGCACAGTAGGAAGAAAGGTATACACAGAAATGTAGACAGAGAAAGTCAAGGCGGAATCCTAGTTGACAGATGAACAAGCCACTTCCCAGCACAGAGACAGAGGGCTCGTCACCCCACCCACAGTGTAAAGATCACAAACCCCCCGCCAGCCACAACCTCATTTTTCTCCCTTCTCGTAACACATAATTCTACCAGAACAGCTTGATGAAAATAAAGTCACTATACTTGATCCAGAAAGCAATTGTCTCACCTAATTTTAATCATCCCCCTTTTTAAGAGAATTTATGTAAGCAGGCCACACAACAGAAATGGAATTAAACGATATTCTTTCACAGTTTTTCCCCTGCCTCCCACAAGAAAACTCCATATCCCACTCATTTTGCTGAAAACCACAGGAATAAAGTGATTTATTTCTAGTTAAAGATTTCAACCACATACTCTTAAACCTCAAACATATCCATGAAAAATAATTTTTGAAAGCTTTCTGCCTCACTGATTCACCCAGAAATCTCTAACATACTGTAAGCTCCACCTAAACACAGGCTCCCAGGGATGTCCTGAGTCAATACTAAACACACATTAGTATTCTGTTACAGTAATTTTTTAAAAATTGCTTTCATTCTGCACAATTATTTGAACTTGTAGAAAATTTAGTTAAGCTCAACTTTCGTAATTCTCATTAGGTAACCTAGGGTGTGGGTGTTTTCGAATTTCCTTTTCATGAAAAAAAAGGAAGCTTTGTATCACAACATCAAGTGTATGTGGAAAAATACATATTTTAATACATGTATAAATACACACTTATTTTTTTTGTTTAAAGATTTTCTTGCCTACTTTACTCCCAACCCAAACACACTGCAAATGCCCCATGCTCAATGTAAATTTAGGTGTGAAAAACTAGGTTTTCTGCTAAAGTTAGGCCAGAGCTCAACACAGGCAGTTAGTTACACACCCAGTCAAGGGGAAACTGATCCAGCCCTTAGATGCCCCCAACGAAACCACCCTTTGTTCACCCAGAAATGGAAGGACTGTACACTCAGAATCACAGCTCCCACAGCAATAGAAGCATGCTCTGAATTCAGACAGCCATATTAGATTCTCAATCATTTGTTAAAAATTTAACATTGTGAATGAAACCACAGCAACCACTAACACCGACTGGATAACTAAATTCCCCATTGGAGGATGTTAGAAAATCCAAGCCCAACATCAACATATGGCAAGTCTCCATGTCTGACCTACCAATACCTGCTCGTGTTACTCTGCAAATTCAGAAAGAGGGAAAGCATTAAGATTTTAAAAGTCCATTATTTTGTACTGTTTAAATCACATGTAAGAACTAATGGCAGGTACAACTGTATCTTAGTGTTTCCCCTTTTTGCCTGGAAAGCACAAAAGTTACTGCAGACCATTATGTCTGTTCTTGTTGAAGGGTCTTGATCAGTACACTCTGTATCATAATCTAACAGCGAAATTGCCTCCCCACCCCCAGCCCCTTGGGTTAGGTGGTTTATTTTGGGCCCCTATTCGGAGCTGGGTTAGTACCTCTTTTCTCTGTAATTTGTGCATCTCTTGGAAGGGACAGGGAGATGCCTGACTTAAACTCCATTTGTTTACCACCCACTGTCCCTAGTATTATGCATTCCCACCACGCAACAGCGTGCGCTCCCGGCACCCCCAGTACCTGCCAAGTTCCTCGCCGGTGTCGTAGTAATCATCCACGTTTTCCTGCCTGAACACAGTCATGATAAACTGTCACGCCTCACCAAAACCCAGCGCACTTCAGCTCGGCTTTCCAAACCATCACCACCGCTCCTCCGCCTCCGTGGGCCCCTCATACATCAGCCTCCAATCCTTTAAAAACAAAATGGCAATAACAGTAATAAAATGACGATCCAAAAAGGAAGCTGACCTCCCCAACGCTAAGAGCTGCTTGCTGAAGACCTCCCTTCCCGAGCTGCCCCTCCCCGCCGGGTGGAGAGAAGCACCCTTTGTTAAAACCAAGGACGCCCCCAGCCCGTACCGCCAGTGCACGCGTGAGACCCCCATAACCGTACCCCAAGTCTGCGCCTCCAAAAGTGGGGCGCTGTGCACAGATACGAGCCGGCTCCGGAAGTGACTGGCCTCCCCGCCTCCCCTTTCTCTGCACACACGCCCACCCAGCTCCCCACCTCCAGGGACGCCGCGGAAGAATGAAGCCCTCGCCCTGGCGGAGCGCGTCGCGCGGGAAGCATCCCTCTCCAGCCCGCAGCGGCGGGGCAGCCCCCGCACTTCGCGGGCCCCCGCCGCCACCCCTCTCCTCCCGCGGGCCAGAGAGTCCCCAGAGGCACATTCCTGGTGACTCCCGCTCCGTTACCCGGCCGACCCGGCGTGCGGCCGCCCGGGGGAGCAGGGGAGGGAAGGGAGCGGCCGAGGGAGGCGCGGCCGCCCGCTCCGGGTCCCAGCGCCCCGACACAAAGCGCCCGGCCCGGCCCGTGCCACCTGTTCCCACCCGGCCTGGGGGTGCCTCCTGGCTGCGGTTCCACTTCTCCCCGCAGTCCAGTTTCCCCGCCCCGGCCCTTTGGTGGCCGTGGGCGCTGCCCGGGCAAACCCCGCCTTGCCTCCGCCGCCGCCGCTGCTGCTGCGAAAGCAAAAGCAGGCGGCGGGGCCCGGGAGGAGCCAGGGACCCGTGCGCGGACACTCACCCGGAGTCCCTCCGGAGCGCAGTCGGGAGCCGACCGTGGGCGCCGGCGCTGGGGACACGGCGGGTGGCAGCGAGAGCGCACAGAACGAGCGGGTGGGGGACGCGGGCCCGCGCGTTCGCCCTGGCGTCGGCGCGGCGGGGATCTCCCACTCGGCTCTGGAGCAGCCCGTAGGCGCCTCGCCGCCTTCCGGGCGGAGGGCGGCCGGCAGGCGGCCAATGGGGGCCCCGCGGGCGGGCTGGCTGCACGGCCCACCCACCTCCCAGCTGCCTGGCCGGCAGGCGCTGCGTTCTCCGCGGCGCCGGCTGCTGCTCCCCGCTCGGCGCCCGGGCTCGCTGGCGCGCTCTACCGCGCACCCCCGCCACCCACACCCTCCCCCGGAGCCTGGGGAGCGCGCCGCGCGCAGCGTGGGCGCCCCACCTGTGACACGCCTCTGCGCGGCCCGCTCTGCTGCGGTCCAGAGAAATACGATTCCTTCGCTCTGCTACATGTGTACCGAGCGCCCGGCGTGTGCCAGGCACGGGGCTCGGCACTGGGAAATCAGAGACCGAAATCGATTTTTTTAAATCCCTGCCCTCCTGAAAATTACACTCTTGCGGAGACGATAGGAGATAAATCTGTAGGCAAATAAGTACGATCATTTTAGAAGAGAGCAAATCTATGGAGACATAATACAGGATAATGGGATAGAGAATGGTAGGGGGAACAGCCTCAATAGATGGGGTTCCTCTCTGGCATAGATGTTTGAAGCTGAGAGCTGAATGGTGCGAAGGTATGCAACCAGAGAAAAGGTTAAGGTCTCAGAGGCCCAATGGAGCAACGGAAGCGAAGGGTTTCTGTGTGCTTTCCATTATGGTGTTGACTGTTAATGGTTGGTCCCAAATGAAATGTGCAAGTAGTGTGAACATCGGATTCCAAGACTTGGTATGGTAAGTATGAAAAATACCTTGTGAATATTTTTATATTAACTATATGTTCAAATGCTACTATTTTGGATATAGCCAACCCATAAAATAGATTAAATACAATATATTATTAAATCAATTTCATCTTTTCTTTGTAAAATGTGGTTACTAGAAAATATCCCAACTATGTAGCTTGCATTATATTGCTGAGGGCTCTGCTGGTCTACACAGAGACCCCATATCTTGTGGAGACTCCTTACCCATTCTCTCTACTTCTTAAACCATGCCTGCCCCAAGCACAAAAAAGATAGTTCCCCATAGAGACCACTGGGGATACCCCCAAAAAGAGAAAACCTCCTACAAAGAAACCTACCTTACTGCCTAGAATTACAAAAATCCGTTTGTGAGCTCTCTGAGATTTCAGATCCACATAGTTGTTCATCATATGCCCAAATTTTCTAAAAAAAATTATCTTTGGTGCACCAGAAATTTTCAACTGTAGAGATTTTGGCCTCCTGAGGAAAAAAAAAAATGCCCTTCAGACCTTATGTCAGACCTTTTTCTTAAGTGTGTTTTATTCAGTGGCCCTCGGGAAGGGCAACATTCATGATTATGAAATCAAGGGAGGGTTCCAAACTGGGAGGTGGTATCAACTGAAGTTATGAGTTTGAGAATTAATACAAAAAGATCTTGAGAGGTGAGAACACAATCAAAAATAACAACAAAAAAAAGAAGTGATTCATCTGGGAGAAATGCAAATGAATACATTCATTGGGGGCCAAAATTAAAAACACAGATGTTTAGGAGAAACTTGGGAAGTGTTGATGATAACTGCTTTATGGGTAATATTTTTCCTATAAAGTAACTCTAAAGCAGTGAAAAGAATTGGCGTCATCTGGGCACTAGCATGTCTTACCTACCCTAATTTGATGTGTTGATCACAGATTGGCTGGAGGAATGAAAAAGGGTATGGAATTAGGCGTCACAAAATCGGAGCTGATTTTGGTGGAACCGTTAACAATTGAATGACCTTGAATGTGTCCCTTACCCCTAAGCTTCATGTCTGTGCTAAATTAGGGAAGCATTTTAGAGAGGAAAAATGTCATAGTTGAAAACATGCCCAACGATTCAATCAAGAAGTGAAATCTAATTTTTCTCCCCATGAATATGAGTTGAACTTAGTGGCTTGCTTCTAAGAAAGTGTGAGGAAATGACAAATGTAATGTCCTTCCAAAGCTAGGTCATAAGGTCTTAGAGCTTCTGTCTGACTCGCTCTCCCTTTCTCTCTCTCTCTCTCTCTCTCTCTCTCTCTCTCTCTCTCTCTCTCTCTTGCTCTTGCTTGCTCTCACCCTTCATTCTGGAAGCCTTCAGCTGCCATGGTTACTCTGGGACTGCCATGTGGAGATACCATGTGAAAACACCACAGAAAGAGAAGCCCAAGGAAGCCCGCTGTTTCAATTCTACCCCTAACCCCACCCCAGCTATTTGTGTTTTCACCGCCAAAGTGCCAGTGAGCAGAATCAATGATTGTGACTGTTTTTAAGTCATTATTTTGGGGTGTTTTGTTATGCAGCAATAGATAACTTGTAAGAAAGCTAGAAAGAAAATAAGAAAACTTAACTCTTAACATGTACCAGATGCGAGGCAGACTAAATTATTCTCTTGCTTAATCTGCAAATAACTCTGTAAATTAGCTGTTTTATTTACACTATACTTAACCTTCTTAGTCTCAGTTCCATCACCTGAAAAATGGGGACCATAATAGACCCTTGCACATTCCTCAAGAGTTGCTGGGAGAAACATAAAGAAATAAGGCATGAGATAGGGCTTTGTATGTTGTATTTTCTATCATGTTCCAAGCAAGAAGAGCTCTGAAGGACATCTCTCAAATGGAAGACAGTACAATAATTGTTAAATTATGGGATTCCAGTTGAGAAAGAACTTCCATGAAAATAAATGATTATGATATGGACTATGGATTATGATAATCATGGGGATAGCTCAAATATAGACTTTAGAACATTATTTTACATCTGTATTAGGGTAAAATAACTGTTGCTATGAAAGCCAACAAATGTCAGAGTTTTAACACACTAAAGGTTTATTTCTTGTTCTCAGCGCAGATGTTTGCAGGGTGTGGGGAGAGGGCTCAGCCCCACATAGTCATTCAGGAACCCAGGCTTCTGCCTTCTAAAGCATCCATAGTCCCTCAGTGGATGTGAGTTTCTCAGTTGATCCTTTTCTTCTATTTGCCGATGAGAGAAGAGAGAATCCACAGAGGATTGCAATGGAGGTTTGTTTAGGAGGTCAAGTTTGAAGTCTAAGGCTTAATGGTAATGGGGACAAAATGTTCTAAAGTCAGTCAGAGTGGACCACATTAGTTAAGTTTACCTTTGGGTTTTATTTTCATAACATTCCCTTGGCTTTTATCAAGGGCTAATATTTTTCAGCAGCCCCATGAAGAATGTTCCTGCGTTTGTGGTTTCCCTACTGAAAATGGTTTCCCCACTATAGAGTTGAGTGCCTCTTATGTAGGCAGTCACATAACTGGTTCCAATACCTTCCAGCATCGTGTACCAAGAGAAATCTGTCTTCACCACAGGATGCTTTTTTGTCAGACAATGAAAATTATAAAACTCATCCTGTTCTACACTTTCCCCTGGATTCCAAATAGTACATGTGGTAAGCTGAGAAAGTATAGTCCTCCAAGTAACATCTAATTCACCATATTCTCTGAACCAAGGATAAGCACATATTATCTAGTATATTTAGATACTAAGGATGCAGAGATAAAAGGAACTTCTTCTGTCCTCAAGTAACTCAGTCTATAAGGGAGACGATGAACAAAGAGACAATTCCATTACATTGTGATTGTGCTAGATATAATCCAGTTATTTCTCTAGATTCACTCTTTATCCTTCACCCTTACAGGTTTGCAGACTGAGGTTTAAGATTATTTTCACTCATTTTTTGTCATCTGGTTGCTGGTCAGTTTGCTCACTGGGGACCCTGGCATGAAGTCAAAGATGGTTATTTCCTGCTTTTTTTGCTACAAGATTGTGTCTGTCACTGTCAAATAAAGTTTACTACTCCTCAACAGGTAACCTCTTCTACATGATTTTCTCTATCCAGTTATTGTCTATTTGGACCCAGAGTTGATGCCACTCCACAGTTACCAACCTGGGGTTCCTGTCCCATCCCTTGTAGCTTTCCTGCACCTCTCTCACACCTCCTTAAATCATCCTAATCTGAGTGTGCCACCTCTTTCCTCCAGGACACTGACTGGTAGTATAATGAGAGAGGAATCTCAGACTTCTGTTGAAACACAAAGGAAAGGCACTTAATTCAGACAAAGGCCAAGGATGGTGGGTGAAAATAGGGGTAAACCTAGGGCTTTGGGGACATTTCCTAGAGGAGCTGATATCCTAACAAAACATGAAAGAAGACTAAGAGTTATCAAAATAAAATGGTGGGTGATGGGGCGGTGGATTGCAGGGCAGTAGGGATGGAGAGGAAGGTATCTAGAAAGAGGAAATCACAGGTGTGAAATAGATAATGTCTCATTAAGGCATCTGTAAGAAATCAGAGCTCAGGCAGTGAAATGGCAAGAAGGAAGAGTAGTGGAGGGAGGGATCTTTTTTTATAAAGCCCAGGATTGGGGAAAGAGTGGAGAGAGAAGCCAAGGTGGATCCCGACTTGGCAAGAGTATGCTCAGCACTTGGGGCTTCACTCTGAAGACTTTTTGATACCC